AGGGAACCTACACATGTTGCAGGACATACCCTTGTGTTGTTATCACCCGAGACCACTGACAACATTGTGGTGTCCTAATTATAGAGGTCAGAGACCCGGGGCTATCTGATTCGAGTGGAAAGATATTACGTGATCACTTTGCCGTCATTTTCAAACGCTCATACTATATAAGCCACCTCCAATAAAGAAAACTGTCCTCTTTCCGTAAATTCAAATCGATTAACATTAAAGGTTTCAGAGAGGATATGAAATCATTTAGATATATTAAATGCGAATATTTGTATTTCCGACCTAAGACGAATATGTGGAATCTTTTGAACACTGGTTTGTCAACCCTTATTGATAAACATGCTCCGCTAATATACAAAAACAATCGTCCTCAGACAGGTCTAATCCATGGTTAATGACGAACTTCACGAGGCAAAAACATTGTACCAAAACGAAAGCTGGAACGAAAGTGGAAAAAATCTCAACTGACAGTTTGATCATGAAATTTACAGAAGTCAATGTGCGTATGTCAATAAAAGTACTCAACGAACACGTTATTAGCTTTTATGGTCCGAAGAAAAGATAGACTCATGTGGTCGTGACCAAAAAACGTCTATTTAAAAGTGACAAAAAATCTTCTTGGAAGAAACCGATGAGGTTGTTTTACCGAGTTGCTTCATCATCAGCAGACCTAGCTCAAGAAGTTCAGTGACTTTTTCGTCTGATAAAATAGATAAAATACGTGACAAGATTCGATCAGAGACAAAACATTCAAGCTGTACAAGTCGACACACAAGGAGTGTAATGAATAGTGAAATAGATGAGCTAGTTGAATTTACACCGTAACTGAAAATGAACTGAGAAAAGTTATATCAAAATCACAAAAGTAAATCTTGTGAACTTAGATGTGCTACCAACATGGCTGTTAAAAGAAATGTTTGGACGAATTGGTCCCGTCATTGACAAACTGATTAACTATTCATTGATCGTTCATATGTTCCAAAATCATTCAAAAGTTACCTGATCAGACCGCTCATCAAGAAGCCAGATTTAGATACCAACATTCTAAAGAATTACAGACCTGTTTCGAATCTGCCATACGTGTCTAAAATTATTGAGAAATAGTTTGACTCTCTCGTCTGGAAGGATATTTAACAGCAAACGAGCTTCACGAATCCCCATCAATCTGCCTATAGAAAATTTCCATTCAACTGAAACAGCAACTAATAAAAGTTCAAAATGATATATTGAATTCACTAGACAACAACGATGTTACCATGTTATTATGCTGGACTTAATCAGCTGCATTCGATACAATCGACCAGCATTACAAGCTTCTACAGCTTCGCTTAAACACCAACTTTGGCATTTCTGGAAAACGTTAGAATGGATACGTTCATATCTAAGTGATCGACAACCAGACTGTCATAATAAATGGTGACTGTCAAACCCTGTCAAATTGAGCTACAGTGTGCCTCAAGGATCCGTTCTGGGGACCAAAATTTTTTAACTATGTACACTAAAAACCTGTTGGTGCAATATGTAAGAAACATGGATTGGAATACCATTATTTATGCAGACGACGGACAAACTTACCTCTCCTTTAAACGCACATGTCCAGTCTCTAAGAATGACTCTTTAGATCGAGTTCAAGCAGCTGTTTGCGGAAATAAAGTAACATGGATGAACCAATAATAATGTTAAAAATCAATGCGACAAGACAGAAGTAATTATATTTACATCTCAGAGAAACCAACAACATGTTGAGACCATAACTGTGACTATCGGAGATGAAAACATAAAACCATCAAGTAGTGTAAGAAATCTTGGTGCTGTATTGGACAACAACAATGAACCCTGGAAAAGCACATTAACTCAGTTTGTAGATCTTGTTATGGAAACTACGCCAGATTGGTCATATAAGGAAATACCTAAATACTGATGCAACAAAATCTTTAGTGAATTCTTTAGTCACTCACGCATGGATTATTGTAAATGCAGCTTTTATATGGTGTAAACCTAAAACGACATTGAATAAACTACAACATCTTCAAAACACTGCTGCCCGGCATCATCACAGGAACATCCAGTTTGAAGCATATCACTCCAGTATTGAAGAAACTACACTGGATTCCTGTAGTTTATCGAGTAGATTTTAAAATCCTTATGCAAACTTATAAAGCCCTACATGACAGTCACCATTTACCTTAACACATTTACTGGCGCTATATCAACCAACAAGAAACTTAAGATCAAAGAACTCTTCAAAGCAACTTGTTGTTGCCAAAAAGTAGGAACTGTAAGATATGGTGAACCGCAGTTTCTCTTCGGTGGCACCTAAACTGTGGAATGCTCTCCCAGACAGTATCAGGAGACTCAAAAAACAGTAGATGTTTTTAAGAAATCTTTAAAAAAAACACATTTTTTCCAGAAAATTTATAGTAACTAACTGTGGGCTGTTTTTGTCATCACTATGAATTGGCGTGCTGTCTTTTGTTATGAGATATCTGGGTACACATTTGAAATATAATAGTCTATTTTTGAATCACATTTCCATTACTAATTAACTGTTTTCATCAAATTGGATTTAGATTTCAGTTGTCTTATCTTGATTTGATTTGATTTGTGTGTGGTAATTTTTTTATTAATTTTAATAGTTTTAACGTTTCTCTCTTTATTTTATTTTCAAGTCTTAGATTTTCTTCATATACATTTTTTTATTTGATCGACTGAGTTTTTAGACTTTTAGATTAATCATCTGTATATTTTATACTTTGTAAATGTATACATAAATGTGTGTTATTATTTTTATTACTTTTTTTTGTTTATAAAGTCATTGTAAATGTATATAATTCCATTGTAAAGCGCCTTTGAACATTTTATTTTTTGAGAAGGGCGCTATAGAAATGTGGTAATTATTAAATATTGCAACAAAACCAAACAAGAAAGTCGAATTTTTAAACACTTATAAATTTTTTAAATTATCTGCTGGATAAAATAACAAAAGCATGCTGATCGCTTTATAAAAGATCATAAAAATATAACAACCATATCAAACAACATGGCGGCATACTAGAAATACCCAGACATCAGAATAAAAGTACCTAGAAATCAGAACCAAAACAAGCTGGTCGCATGATAAAAGTACCTAGAAATCAGAACTAAAATAAAACTGGCCGCGTGATCAAAGTACCTAGAAATCAGAACCAAAGCAAGCTGATCGCATTATGAACAAGCTGATCGCATTATGAAAATATCTTAGTACAGCAACTAAAACAAGCTGGTCACATGATAAAAGTACATAGAAATGAGAACCAAAACAAGCTGGTCGCATTATGAAAATACTTTAGTACAGCAATAAAAATAAGCTTGACGCATGATAAAAGTACCTATAAATCAGAACCAAAGCAAGCATGCCGCATGATGAAAATACCTAGAAATCAGAATCAAAACAAGTTGACCGCATGATAAAAGTACCTAAAATCAGAACCAAAAAAAAAGCTGTCGCATGATAAAAGTACCTAGAAATCAGAACCAAAGCAAGCAGGCCGCATGATAAAAGTACCTAGAAATCAGAATCAAAACAAGCTGACCGCATAATAAAAGTACATAAAATCAGAACAAAAAAAAGGCTGTCGCATGATAAAAGTACCTAGAAATCAGAACCAAAGAAAGCTGATCGCATTATGAAAATACCTTAGTACAGCAACAAAAACAAGCTGGTCGTATGATAGAAGTACGTAGTAATCAGAACCAAAACATGCAGGCCGCATGATAAAAGTGCCTAGAAATCAGAACAAAAAAAGCTGGCCACATGATAAAAGTACCTAGAAATTTGAGCCAAAAACAAGCTGGTCGCATTATGAAAATACCTAGAAATCAGAACTTAAAAAACTGGTCGCATGATAAAAGTACCTAGAAATCAGAACCAATACCATACAGCAACCAAAACAAGGTAGCCGCATGATAAAAATACCTAGAATTCAGAACTAAAAAAGGTGGCCTCATGATAAAAGTACCTAGAAATCAGAACTAAAAAAACTGGTCGCTTGATAAAAGTACCTAGAAATCAGAACCAAAACAAGCTGCTCGCATTATCAATGCTGTCGCATTATCAAAATACCTAAGTACAGCATTCAAAACAAGGTGGCCGCATGATAAAAGTACCTAGAAATCAGAACTAAAATAAAAACTGGCCGCATGATAAAAGTACATAGAAATCAGAACCAAAACAAGCTGGTCGCATTATGAAAATACCTTAGTACAGCAACCAAATCATGCTGGCCGCATGATAAAAGTACCTAGAAATCAGAACTAAAACAAGTTTGCAGCATTATTAAAAGTCCTTTGAAATTAAAAACATGACACACATCATGGTCGCTTTGTAAAAGTACCTAGATACAAGAACTAAAAAAGGCTGGCCTCACTATGAAAGACCCTTAATATAATAAATATTAAAAACAGTGTACTTAGCTATACCAAACACAACAAGCTTGTCGCTGTATAAATGGACATAGATTTTACAACCAAACAAATAAGCTGATAGAATAAGGAAAGAACCTAGATATAAGAACCAATTTGAAAACAAGATGGCGTATTTGGTAATAACCTAGATACAAGAACCAAGACAAGCTGGCCGTATTATGAAAGTGCACAATAAACATGGCCTCAATAAAATGGCGTCTTTTCATGCAAATAAACCTGTATAGTAAATTGAAATTAATAGCTTTCATATTTTTTGGGAAAATGGACTTTAACAAAAAGGTCACGAGAGGGTCACGACAAAAGCTCCAATTTTTGTTTTTGAAAAGTGGAGCTTAAAACTTTAAATTGAACTTACCGGGATGGATGTATACAAATGTAATGGGAATATACGATGCAAACAAAATACAAGTGAACATTATTGACAATTTTATCATGTTTTATTTTATTTTTAACAATACAAACAAACAAAAAATAAACTAACAGAAATAATAAAGTTAACAGATTCTTCGAAGCAAAATAGAATAAAGAAGATAATAACTTTTTACGGAATCTTTCATTGGCCAATTAAAAACATAGGACATAGCAATAACACAGAATGATACCAAGTCATTGTCATATTGAAGAACGTATTCTTTAAAGTGGATTGGTTCATAATTGAAGGTTTATGTTACAATAAATAACTGTTTTTATGGTATGAAGCTTAGTTGTCGTAAGAAACATTTTAAGATTATAATTCATCATATAAATGTCAATACTCTATCATTAGGATGTTCCTATCAACGTTTGTTTTAAGAAATATGTTATAAGAATATCAAAAACGATAAATTTCTATTGTTTTATAAATACTTGATGTACTGTTGGAAAATATTCCTATTGTAAGACAAATCCACTTTAAAGTATTTGGTATTACTGAAGTTTGCGTTATTATACACCTCTTTTATTTACAAAAATAACAAGAGCCAAATAGAGAAAAAATATACTAAAAAATGTGCTGTAAATTATTCATTATAATTGTTCTATTGAAGTTATACGTACAACATGCATTAAAAATATTAACGTTTGATATGAGAAAGAGTTTCCCGGAGTAATGCCCCTTTGTACAAATAAGCTAAACCATTATATTGTAATGCTCTTTCGTGTTCTTGTGGGCAACGACATTTCGCTGCAAGGTTTGCGCATTGAGGAAACAGAATATAATAACCCTCAAATTTCCATTTCGATAACCCTAAAATTGATAATTGACAGTACTAAAAATGGAAGATGAAAAAATCCATTTAAAAAATCACAAATGAATTGAATATTGTTCAGATTCCCTTTTATTTTGTTACCCGTATATTTCAATTAAACGTTTGGTGATTATTATCAGGGACTTTGTTCTTGAACCATAATCGCACAAAATGTCTTAAATGAACTTGTCCAACTTACAGTCTTGACAAAACCGTTCATCATTTTAGGGAAATTTTCCAGGATGTTAACAGACTCAATAGCGAGCAGTACCGACCATGACCTTGATCAGCACTAGTCACTAGTAGAACCAGTAGCCGCCCGCAGGTTAATAGTTAATTTGACAGACTTGTGTTACCTGGAAGCGCTTAGCAATCGTTTTAACTTGATTTAAACATGTCACAAAGAAGACGCTCGATCGGAATATTGCCTATGGTTCGTCGAAAGAAAACCTCTTCTATAGACCTCGGGCCAACTGCTTTCAAACTATACAATTGTAGCAGGAGCTTTCCAAACCTGAGCTTGTTAGCTGGATGGTTGGAGAAACAGTATTCAGATAGCATGACCTGGGTTTGATCCTGTAGCAGCTCCACCTGAAGGTAGTCTCTCAACCCTTTGATTTCTGTATAGAGAAATAAAATGTACTTAACACAGATATAATACAAATATACATTTTATCATTCTTATAACAAGTTATCTACGATTTGACGCCATTGCCGCCGAGTGGTTAACGCGTTGAACTATTACTACAAGGATCGCTTGATGCAAATGTTTAACGCGTGGATCTTTTACTACAAGGAACGCTTGACGCCAGTGGTTAACGCGTGGAACTATTACTACAAGGATTACTTGACGCCAATGTTTAAACCTCGTCATAGGCCTAGTCTTTACGCTAGTTGTTCTGAACAATGCTCCGAAAGTATATCATTTACCTAAAAGTTTTATTCACAAAAGATCTACAATTAATTCTGCTTCAACTTAATAATACCATAGAATAATAAATCATTAAAAACATTCTTATAAAGTCTAATAATCAATAAAACTGTAAAACAACAGCATCAACAACAAAATATACTGTACTAACCTGATTTGAAGAGGACGAGTGCTTTTAGACAAGCATATTCCGTTGAGTCAATACGCATGGCGGCAAATCTCAGAATAATTTCTTGCAACATTCGTATCTGAGAATACAACACTGTCGCGCGTTCTGATTGGTCCGTTGTTGAAACCCCAATAGCAGACATCAAAGAACCTAATTTATAGATGTACATAATCATTTATCACATAATTTATAAGCAACTTACAGCTAAATAGGTAACATTAAGCTTAATTTTCAAATTAAAAAAAGGCTGATTTAAAGAAATACCACAGGTCTATATTTTAAACAGTCAAATATTACCGATATTGGACTGAAATATGCCTGTACAGTCAAACCTGTGAACAAAGGCCATCCAAATAAGAGCGAAGGTATGTTGACGAGTGGTCTTTATTAACAATATGACTTTTATTCGAAGTAGATCCATATTATACAGGTTTGACTGTGTTTCAAATCTTAATCCTATAAGTCTAGATCTCCAAGAAATGTTTTACTTTTGAAAATGAATAACACAAAAAAAAGTCTTGTGTTATTTTATAATGTTGGTATTTTAAGTTGGTAGGTTTCTATAAAGAATGGGGAATGCACACAATCTTTGCTAAGCAGTAATTAAATCCCCATTTAAAACTTAAACAAAATGATTTATTATGTTTACGTTCAGTATTCATGTTTGTTAATTATATAAGAAACATTCTACATTTTAACTAATTCGAGTATCGACCATAAGGTTATGAAAAACATAATTTTAGATTTTATGAATATATTTCATATGATATGATTTTAAGCAATTTTAGCATTAAAAGTGCCTTTAGAGCTAGGGTTAATAATCAAACAATTGAATTGACTAAATACATATTTTTAGCTTAATGAAATAACGAAAGAACAATTTTAGAACATCCTTTTAAATCCTTACTTGTATCTAGCGACATGGACCACTGCGCAGCACTTATTATATATATTTCACACCACGATTCCTCCAATACAAGAGCGATCAGTAATCACATGTGTCGCCTCATGATGGCCAATTTCATGTTGGGAAAAATTTTGTGACAGAGACGGACAGACAGACGGACAGTGCACAACTAGACTTGGTACTGATCGTTCCTGTAATCGTTTGGATAAAATTGCACCAGTAGTTTATGAGGAGTAGTCCGGACAAGCTTTTGCGTATCTGGCAACACACAGAAAAAAAACCTTTTTATCAAAGGGCCATAACTCGGCCAAAAATCATTCAACCGGAAAACCCGTGCAATATGCGCAAGGACTTGAGCTACAAATAAATCCTGTAAAGTTTCATTGAAATTGCATTAGTGGTATAAGAGAAGTAGTCCGGACAAACTTTAAAATTAAAAATTATTAAAGGGCCATAACTGTGACAAAAATCATAAAACCAAAAAATGCTGACAATATGCACAACTAGATTTGGTACTGATCATTCCTGTAAAGTTTGGATGAAATTGCACTAGTAGTTTATGAGGAGTAGTCCGGACAAGCTTTTGTGTATCTGGCAACACACAGAAAAAACACCTTTTAATCAAAGGGCCATAACTCGACCAAAAATAATTCAACCAAAAAACCCGAGCAATATGCGCAAGGACTTGAGCTACAGATTAATCCTGTAAAGTTTCATTGAAATTGCATTAGTGGTATAAGAGAAGTAGTCCGGACAAACTTTAAAATTAAAAATTATTAAAGGGCCATAACTCTGACAAAAATCATTGAACCGGACAATGCTGAAAATATGCACAACTAGACTTTGTACTGATCATTCCTGTAAAGTGTGGACGAATTTGCACCAGTAGTTTATGAGGAGTAGTCTGGACAAGTTTTGTGACGGACAGACGGACAGACAGACGGATAGACAGACGACGGAGAAGTGATCCCTATATGTCGCCACGACTCTGTAGAGGCAACACAAAAATGGCATGATCCCGGAACGGAAGTGTGAAGAATTACGGGATATTGCGCGCCCATTTTATTGACATGAATAGTTGAATAGTATCTTCACCGACGTCAATGTAAATTTGATATGAGCAGTACTGGACATGTACTTTGGACAGAAGCCGTCTAGATCATGGCGTGGTGTTTTAGGTCTTGCATGCCTATCAGGACTCACACTGGACGAGGTTTGTTCTGGAGAAACTGGAAAATAGTAACCATTTGTGTTGTTTAAATCGAAGTAATATAGAATTCAATCTATTAGCCTAAGTATCAACAAGGGGGAGAGCCTTTATAAATGTATTTAAATTGAAAGCAACAAGCAATAAGAAGACAAATTAAGTCATGATGCCACAGGAACGTAAACTGTAATCAATCATTTTAATACACAAACATGTTTTACAATAGTTGATCGATTCACGGTGAAAAAATGTCAGCAACTCCTACAATCATAGTCAGTATAAGAATGGTATTGTTTCCCTTTATCTGTTAATATGTTGACATTAATATTGGTTGCCTTGGTGGAGTAAATAGACTTTACCAAATGAATATGTTGATTATGATACTTAGCTGAAATGATTCAGCAAACATGTATTCTAATATCTGTAAAAAAATTAAATTATTGTTTACAAATGTATTAGATTTATTTATGCATAAACGTAAAATAGCCTTCAAAATACATATGAAATATATGAATATATATATGAAAATGGTGTTCTGTTAAAAGAAATCGAAAAAAAAAAAATAATAAAAATCAATTGAAATTGAATCTAAGATATTCCTTATTGCACACAACACATATATTGCGCAGAGAGTTTATGGTGTTAATATTTTCAAGTAGGAAAAAATAAGTTTACTAAATTAAAAAGAATGTTCCTTAGACGATTGTTGGTATTTCCCTTTTAGAAAATTGACGGATATACGTGAAATCTCACTCAGAGGAATATGCCATATGAAGAGCCGGGTTGGAGAGAAGAAAACAGCCGTTCCTCCTTTAATATTCTCAATTCTTGTGTTATCGATAATTTCACTCGAAATACAATCATTTATCTTAATATCATAGTCATTTTTTTATCATATCTAATAACATCAAATTGACCTGTCATTTTATAACAATCATAGAAAATAAGGGTACAGCAGAACTCTTTCTATTAAATGTTTATTATTTCTTATGCACATTTATAACGGTTAGCATGACTGAATTTAATTATGAAGTATTTAAGGTCTGTCAAACTGTAACGGATTAAGCATAGTTGTGAATGCATAATGAGTTGAATCAATAAATTGAATTAATGGGAGAATGATGTACAAAGTATGGGTATGGAATATAGAGCACACAATAGATAGTATTTAAAGGGAAAGACAAGGTAAGAATAAAAATTTGATTTCAGAAAAAGAATACTATAAATAATAAGTCTGCAAATTTTCTGCCGCCAAATAATAATATTAAACGAATGATAACAAAATTTAAATCACTTAATCACCGATTTCTACAAACCAGAAAGCGCGGCCATGTTTGTGTATTGGCTGTATAAAAACAGGTGCGCGTGATGTCATTTCCCCACATCTTTAGATTCATGATAAATCTAGTTGAATCGTAAGGAAATATTAATATTATAAAGTATTGACCAGACAATTTAATTTTCACAGGAATTGAAGAGGAGATTTATTTATGGTTCAAAATACGTAACATTATCAAACAAAAATAAAGATACGTACGGCTAGCCAAAAGTTCTAGCCGTACGTGAGTCACGAACGACTAGCCAGGACGCACTGTATTGTCTAGCCGTACGGCACTTTTCAAAATTATATGGAAGTCAAACGTTATAAAATTGTTGATTTTCATACTTATCTTTTGTTGTTTTATTTTTATGAATTATTAAATCATTTTTGTTAATTTTAAGCACATGGATCGAAAATGATCGGAGTGGAATAAATAAATAAAAAGAACATTGAATGAAAAAATAACGGTGAAATGCAAAAATAATTATATAATTTTCAAAACAGTAGATAAATATCGAACATAAAAGCACAGTCAATCAATTAATTAGCCTTAATTAAAACCTATCCAGAGACTGACAATAGTTTTTTAGAATGCCTTTCACGGTACATGCAAACTTTCCTTGATGGACAAACTTCTATACAGTACCGTCGGTAATTGTCGCAATTATCAAGAGCCAAACAACAATCATTTTCAGTGTTTGTTGTTTTTTTTTTCATATAAAAGGTGTCGAAAATTAAACTTAATGAAACAAAAAGGATTATTATCAAAATTTTGTAAACTATTTCAATTGGTGTTAATGCAAGAAAAGGCTATTTTTACTCGACATCTTGCGATGACAAAGATCGATATATATAGCGATCAAGGCGATTAATCGCTAAAAAGTTAACATCCAAAGACAATTAATGTTGTTTCTTGGTTAAAATCCTCGCTTAATCATAAAATAACATATGCATTTTCGACTTCCATAACATTTTGAAAAGTGCCG